TGCTTCCCTTTGTCCTCTGCCTGGGTGTGTTTGGCCTCTTCTGCCTCTGTTGAATGTCAAAACCCCTGCTCCAAAATGCCCTTCAAGGCCGAAGTAAGACATTCTCTCCCTAGGAATCTGAAGCAAGACAAGGGAAGGGGGGAAACACTTTTCTTTTTATAAATACGATCTAATTTGTCAAAGAAAAGGACATCTGAAGTCACAGCTTGTCGTGACATGGGCTTCATTCTGGGAGACAGAACATGGTGTTCTAGTTTAGGAGACCGGAGGGTTCAAAGCCTGCTTCTTATAAACCAAATGCACTCCCAGAGCAGTAAAAGGGAACAATGGGAAAAGAGAGGCTGTTGCCAGAATCCTCTCTGGAGCCTGGACGTGGAAGTCTTGAGTGGAAAGCATCGAACACGGGCAGTTTCTTGGCATCTCGGACTGCACATTGTGGCTCTCACGTGGGCTGGCTTAACGATCTCTAATCTGGGAGTGGAGAAGCAGAAGGGTCCCAAATTAACGCCAGCCTTCCCCTTCACTTGGAAGTCTGAGAGCCTGAATTTTGGGAACTGTCTCTGGTAAGGCCCAGGGTATCTGGGGTGGCTCTTCACTGCTCATCATAGTACGGCCCTGCTCAAGGTATCAGGGAAATGGAGCTGCGTGGGTGAAGGTACGAGCTCAGAGAATCACTTAAAATAAGATTTAAAAAAATTTTTATGTGCACAAGCGTGTGTGTATACAGAATAATACATAAGATTTAGGAAAAAATGTATTTTTCTAACAGAACATTTTATTATTTGGGAATTTCACATCATGCATCCTGATTACAATCACTTCCTGACCTTACCAGGTCCGCCCCCTTGTGACTTCCTCCCACCAAAAAAAGAATAAGGAGAAAACAAGCCCAACTTGTGTTGCTTATATACTCAGTGGAGCATGGTCAAACTCCCAGCGGTCACCCCTTAAAGAAAACTGAGTCCTTGCAGGACATTGGTGGTGCACGCCTTCAATCCCAGAACTCAGGAGACAGGGGCAGGTGAATCTCTGTGAGTTTGAGGTCAGCCAGGTCTACAGAGTGAGTTCCAGGACAGTCAGGGCTACATAGTATGACCCAGTCTCAACGCCCCACCCCCCAAAAAAGCTCGGTCCAAAGTCTGGACCTCCAGCATCCACGTATACACCAGGCACAGTAGTGTGTGTCTGTAATCCCTGCTCTAAGGAGGGGAGACAGGGAGAAGCCTGGAGCTCCCTGGCCAGCTAACCTAGCTGAACCTCTGAGAGTGAGCAGCTCCACCTCAAAAATAAAGTGGAAGGCCAGGCAGTGATGGCGCAGGCCTTTAATCGCAGCACTTAGGAGGCAGGGGCAGGTGGATCTCTGTGAGTTTGAGGCCAGCCTGATTTACAGAGCGAGTTCCACGACAGCCAGGGCTACACAGAGAAACATGCCCCCCCCAAATAAAATGGAGAGCAACTGAGGTAGACGCCTCATATAGGCCTCTGTCCTCCACACACACACACACACACACACACACACACACACACACACACAGGCATGCATACACAGAGTGGGGTAGGTATTCTTATAGCGGGCTTCCCTGGTACTCAGGACTGAGCTTAGGTATAGGAGAGAGTCTGACCTTTCCTGTTATTCAGCTTGATGGTTTGTTTTGTCTGAGACAGGGTCATTGTGTAGCCCTACCCGGCCTAGAACTTACTATGTAGATCAAGCTGGTCTCCAAAGTCACAGGCCTGCCTCTACCTCCCAAGTACTGGGATTACTCAGTAGGGGGTGCTTTTTGAGACAAGGTCTCTCAAGTAGTGCTGGCTTCTGCCTCTGAAAAGTGAGGATGACAGGAATGTACAGGAATACACTGCCACGCCTAACTTTGACTGTACAGGAAGTTGCAGGTCTATAGAGTGAGGCTGTGTCAAGAAAAAACAAAAAGCCCAAGCAGGAATGTAATCTCAGCTTTCAGGAGGGAGAAGCAGAAGGATCAGGAATTAAAGGTCAGCCTCAGTTACACATTGAGTTCAAGGCTAACCTGGGCTACATGATACCCTATGTTAAGAAAACAAAACTAAGACTCCCAAAAGGGAGAAAGTTAATTAAATAGTAAGATAATTTTTTAAATATTGGCCGGGTGGTGGTGGCACACGCCTTTAATTCCAGCACTCAGGAGGCAGAGGCAAGTGGATCTCTGTGAGTTCGAGACCAAGCCTGGTCTACCGAGCGAGTTCCAGGACAGGCTCCAAAACAATGCAGAGCAACCCTGTCTCGAAAAAAAAAATCTTGCATATCAAAAGACTCCATACAAATGCTGTGGACAGTAACTGCAGATTTGTCTACTATGCTGTTTCAGGAAGTCCTATTCAGGAATGGCAGTAGCCCCTGCCTGTGTGCCAACGGCCCGTTGGCATCTCCTACATATAGATCACAAAAATGGAGGCTTAGCTAGGTAAGAGTGACGCTGGACTCTTCCCAAAGCTGCTGAAGACAGGATCTGCTCTCTGTGGGGACCACCCCGCCTTCCTCCCTAGAGTGTGCAGTTGGAGGCACCAGATGCTCTGGCAAGATCTAGAGAGATGCCATCTGGGAGGGAAGCCTATTCTTAGAGAGCAGAGCCAGTCGGTGGTGGAGCCCCCCCCCCAGCAGAGGGGGGATGCAGGGCAGGAGGCCAAGGCTGGCTGGGGAGAAGGGCAGGCTAAACACAGGGCACACTGATTTCTTAGAACCAGTTTCCTCTTGCATTTGTTCTATTGGAAATAAGCGCAATGTTTATTGAATGTTCACTTATACGTATCACTCAATCCCTCCAGACACCACAAGGTGTGTGTCATCACAACACCTCTTTCCAGATGAGGCACAGATGGCTGTCACTAATAGGTCAGGCCTCAAGCCCGGGCATGCTGGTTCCAAAGCCCTTGTCTCTTGCAACCATGTATACTGCCTCTCAGCCTGCTGACCAGTGGCCAGTCTTAGTTTGGGTTTCCCAGATAATAAACCCCAAGGCGAGGATCTGAGTGCAAGTGGCTTAACTGAGAAGCGGGCCCAGGATGCAAAGGCTGAGGCATGAGCAGGATAGTTTCCATGAGCACCTGAAGCCCAGACCTTCTGGAGCCCTAGCAAGCAGCACACAGAGGGTATCTCCTCCGAGGGCTGAGAGGTGCTCACGATGGCTCTTCTCAGTGCTGCGTTGATGCTGCTAAAACTCCATGCCTGCTGCAGAGCGCTAAAGCAGGCACCAGTGGTGGGAGTCCTCAGACAGGGAGACACAGGAGTGTCAACTGGAGAAGTGTACACAGAGAGAATGGCAGGGCTCCCCACCATCTGCTATAATAAACCTGCCTGGCAATGGTCGGCCTCCCCTCAGTCTCGAGTTTGCTCACCAAGCACAGGAAAAAGCTCTTCCAAATGGTCTGCTCTGAGCTTGCAGTGAGCTGCAGCTGAGAGCACTGGGAAACCAGACCAAAGCCACCTCCACCACCCCAGAGATACCTAGGATAATGACGCTTGGCTATTCACCACTCCCTTAGCACTCAGGCTGAGCTCATAATACAGCGCCTACAGCATGGGAGCGTGTAGGCTATTCAGACTCTTGGAAGCATTCCACAGCCCTGGATCAGAACTTATATTGTGTTCATTTGCTGTTTATTTTTGAGACAGGGTCTCACGTGTCCCAGGCTGGTTCTCGACTTGCTATGTAGCAAAGTATAACCTTGAACTCCCATCATCTTGCCTCCACTTCCCAGGTGCTGTGAATATAGGCGTGCATCTCCATGCCTGGCCATAATCTACACACTAATAATCTCTCTAGTGGGGCGGGAGAGATGGCTCAGAGGTTAAGAGCACTGACTGGTCTTCCAGAGGTCCTGAGTTCAATTCCCAGCAACCACATGGTGGTTCATAACCACCTACAATGGGATCTCATACCCTCTTCTGGCATGCATGCCAGAACACTGTATACATAATAAATAAATAAATCTTAAAAAAAATCTAGTGACTCATGTAGATTTCTACCAGTCATTTCAAACACATAAAAACACAAATGGGGAGGGCACATTAAAGTAATGTATTGCAGTAAACCAAGGGTCTCAGACTGGCAGCCTCTGGACAAGGCTTTTCTGAGAGTTGTTTAGTTTTAAAAATTCTGCCAGCCACACAACTCTCCAGTTCACTGTGACCCATTTCCCTCTATGGCATAGCACCTCAAGAACTTCCACTTAGGGGTTTGAATTTGTGGCTGTGCTTGAAGCTCCTGGAAGCCTAATCTGCCAAGTTGCTGTGGATGCTTCTTCTAGAGAACTACCCAGGCATTCATGTAAGCAGGAATCAAGATAACTAAAAATGTCTGTCCCTGAGGAAGATTTATGTCACCATATTAAAGAAGTTGTTTGTGTGCGTCCTGAGAACACAAAAGAAAAGGCAGTTCGTTCCACAAAGTGGTTCATGTTGTGGATAAACATATACTGGTTTTTGATCCAAAACAAGAAGTCAGGTTTTTTTCACGAAAGAACACTACAAATTTTGATATTACTAAAAGGCAAAATAAAGATCTTAAGTTTGTATTTGATGCTGTTTTTGATGAAACACCAACTCAAATGGGAGTTTTTGAACACACTACCAAGCCAATCCTTCATAGTTTTCTGAATGGATATAATTGCACAGTGCTTGCATATGGTGCCACTGGAGCTGGGAAGACACACACGATGCTAGGACCGGCTGCTGAGCCTGGAGTAGTGTACCTTACAGTGTTAGACCTTTTCAAATCCATGGGTGAGATTAAAGAAGTGTGTAGTACTGCTGTTTCTTATTTGGAGGTATATAATGAACAGATCCGTGACCTCTTGACAAATTCGAGGCCACTTGCTGTCCAGGAAGATGCCCAAAAAAGAGTGGTCGTTCAGGGTCTCACTTTACACCAGCCCACATCCTCAGAGGAAATAGTATAGCTACTAGACAATGAAAACAAAAACAGGACACAGCATCCCACCGACATGAATGCTACGTCTTCTCGTTCCCTTGCTGCTTTCCAGATTTATTTGTGACAACAGGACAAAACAGCAAGCATCAATCAAAATGTCTGTGTAGCTAAAATGTCACTCACTGACCCGGCAGGATCTGAGAGGGCCAGAACTTCTGGTGCCAAACGGACACGATTTGTAGAAGGCACAAATATTAATAAATCCCATTTAGCCCTTGGGTATGTCATCAGTGCCTTAGCAGATACAAAGAGAAGGACTCAGCATATTCCTTACAGAAATAGTAAGCTGACTCATTTGCTGAAGGATTCTCTTGGAGAAAACTGTCAAACTATGATAGCTGCTGTTAGTTCTCTTTGTTCTAAGACGATGATACATATAACACTAATTTTTTTGTTTGTTTTTGTTTTTTTTTTTTTGAGACAGTATTTCTCTGTATTGTTTTGTAGGCTGTCCTGGAACTCGCTCTGTAGACCAGACTGGCCTTGAACTCACAGAGATCCGTCTGCCTCTGCCTCCCAAGTGCTGGGATTAAAAGTGTGTGCCACCAACGCCTGGCTCATATAACACTAAAAGCCTATGAAGAACAGAAAGCCTTGACTGACAAAAGTGACAGTGCAAAATCAGGACACTCAAGCACTCAGGACAAAGAAATAAAAGACTGCAAGAAATTCTGAAATGCTTGTTTCAGAATCGAGGAGGAATCAGGTAAAAATATCTGAAGTTAGAAATGTTGCCTAAAGAAAATGAGCTCAGGTCATTCTATCAACAACAGTGCCGTCACCAAATAGAGATGATGTGTTCAGAAGACAGTGGAAAAGGCCACTTGCAAACAAGATCATAGACTTCAAAGGTTGAAAACTGTTTCCTAGAGAAAAAGAAGGAAGAGGTGTTGAAACAATTTGATGAGAATACTAATTGACTTCATCGAGTAGAAAGTGAAATGAGGCTCTTAGGTCAAAATGGTGACATCCCAAAGGTACTCAATAAAGATCTTCATTGTCACCAATTTCACCTCCAGACCAAAGACCTGAAAACACAAATGGCATGCATGAAGGCTCTAGCTTGTCTCCAAGAGCAGCAGCACAGTCAGACTGAGGCAGTACTCAATGCTTTACTTCCAGCCCTAAGAAGAAACTAACCTGTCTAACACTGCTTTTGATTATAACTTCAAAGATATTGAGCATCTGGTAGAAAGGAAGAAGGTGGTGGTTTGGGCTGACCAAACTGCCGAATATTCAAACCAAAATGATCTTCCAGGGATTTATCTTCTTATGACCTTCCCACAGCTTGGACCAATTCAGTCTATTCCTTGTTGCATGTCCTCAAATGAACCTGGCTTGCTTAACATTACTCCACAAAAAGGAACCAGAAGGAAATTAATACCGTCTTCCTTGAAAGTAAAACACACTGAGAAGTCTCCACTGTCTGCAAGTACACAGCTCAACGATTCTTTCAGCAAAGAACTTGAGCCTATTGTTTATACCCCAGAGGACTACAGAAGACCTCTTCAAAACCCATCCCCAGCCTTAAAAAGACCTTCATCACATACTACAAATAATCAGTGATAATTCTCATGGAACCCTGGGATAAAACAAGTTGGAGTGTGAGGTCCATGACCTTGAGAAGGCAGGATCCTCCATGAGGGTGTGTTGACAGAACCACACTCTGATCAGCAGCTGGACACTGCCTGGAAGCTGTCTGGGCAGAGGAGTTCCTTAAGCACCTTGGGCTGTGTTACTTGGAGGGGCGGCTCTTGTTGAAGATGAGGAAGTCTGAGATGTCATGCCACACGTTGCTGTCCTCGTAGAGGTAGGTCATGGAGGACTGCAGTGAGGGCTGCAGAGTGGACCGGTGATACTCGAAGAGCCATAGCACAAGCCCCCAAATCACTGCAGTGTGCAAGGGGAACAGGTCCCATCTGAGCTTAGGAATGTAGCCCTTCTCCACACCCAGGCGGCACAAGGCAAACAGGACGCGTGATGTCAGGTACATGTTGATCTGCAGGGAGGGAATGCTGAAGATTACTAGTCAGCATGGCCACTGGAACCTTCACCTGCCCACCCAACCCTCGGCACTGGGCATTACTGTGCAGTGGCTCTATGATTTTCAAAGTTAACATGCAAGACGATTAAGGTGGTATGCAACAGACATTCTAATATTTCTATTTATGTGTGTGTGGTGCATATGTCTGTGTCGGTGCATATCCATGTGTGGGTTGGGTGCCTGTGTACATGTGGGTATGGAAACTAGAGGCTGCCGTTAGGTGTCTTTTTCAGTTACCTCTTTAGCCTAATTATCTGTTTTGTTTTTGTTGTTTGGAGACAGGGTCTCCCTGTTATGGAGCTTTCTTAGAACTTGCTATGTAGCCCAAGCTGGCCTGGAACTCATAGAGATCTACCTGCCTGCCTCCTGAGGGCAGCAATTTAAGGTGTGAGCTACCATACCCAGCTCTAGCCAGGTATAATTGGTCAGGAGTAGTGGCACATGCCTTAAGAGGATTGGGGGCCAGGTGATGGTGGCACATGCCTTTAATCCCAGCACTTGGGCAGCAGAGTCAAGCAGATTTCTGTTAGTCTAAGGCCAGCCTGGTCTACATAGTAAGTTCCAGCGGGCTATGTAGAGAGACCCTGTTTTAACAGCCTCCCCTCAAAGAAACCTTTCAATTTACAAATATTTTCTCTTTTTAGAGATTTAAAAGCACTCTTAATCTTTGAGCTACAGGTTCATTCTGCCCCTTCCCCAATTTGTTGAGATCAAAGTCTCTCATTCAACACAGAGTGCACCAATTTGGCTATGCTAGCTGACTACAGAGTTCCAGGGATTTACCTCTTTCTACCTTCCAAATACTGGGATTACAGACAGATGCTTCTATGCCTGGCTTTAAAAGAAACTGGTAATAAACTATTATTTATGTATTTACTCTGTGTGTGTGTGTGTGTGTGTGTGTGTGCGTGCATGTGTGTATGTACACTGTTTTGTTCCTCAGAAACCATTCATGTTGTTTTTCACATTTTTTATTTTTGAGACAAGGTCTCTCATAGCCTGGCACTCACCAGTTTGGAGAGAGTGGTTGGTGCCAGCAAGTCCAGCCCTTCCTGTGTCTGCCTCCACAGTTTGCTTCATAAGCACTTTGCCAACAGAACGACCTCTCTGTCCCCTTTTCATAAGCTGTGATTTGGTTTTGTTTTTTTCAAGACTGGATATCACTATGTAGTCCTGGCTGTCTGGAACTCACTAAGTAGATCAAGTTGGCCCAGAACTCACAGTAATCCTCCTGTCTCTGTCTCTGAGTGCTGGGACTAAAGGTGTACACTACTATGCCTGGCTCCTTTATTATAAGTTTTTAAAATCAATTATACAGAGTTCAAAATTTTAAAAAACAATTCATAAGAGGAAAAATAATATTTTGGATTTCTTTGAAATTCATTTTTTTCTCTGTGAAGCCAGCTGGGTGTACATAATAAATTCCAGGCCAGTTGGGGCTACATGGCAAGGCCTTATGTCAGATAAAGGAGGGCTACAGGGAGAGTTATTCACAACACATATGTGCAAAGCATTGGCATGTAGATGTTCTGAAAAATATCCTCAGAGTTCACAAGTAAAACATGAAATATTACAGTTGGAAAATGAGCAAAAGACATGAATGTTTCACCCAATGGGTAGCAAATAAATGATAATGAGGAAAATTTCAACATCATTAGTCATCAGGGAAAGGTGAAGTCAAGTCACAATGGGTAAGACAGGGCTGGTGCCAGGCATTGGTGGTGCACGCCTTTATTTCCAGCACTCAAGAGGCAGAGGCAGTCAGATCTCTGTGAGTTCAAGGCCAGCCTGGTCTACAGAGCGAGTTCCAGGACAGCCTCAAAACAATACAGAGAAACCCTGTCTCGAAAAAACAACAACAACAAAAAAACAAAAACAAAAAAACAAAAACAAAAAAAACCCAAACAGGGCTGGTGAGATGGTTTAGGGGCTGAGGGCACTTGCAGCAAAAGTCTAACAACCTGGGTTTGATCTCTAGAGCCCATAGTGGAAGGAGAGAACCAACTCCCAAGAGCTGTCGTCTGAACCACATACATACACCATGGCAGGTGCACACCTGCACTTATAAGCATCACGCATGCACGCACACACACAGACCCCAAACCTTTAAAACACAGATAAAATAAATCATGAAGCAAACTAAATGTTAGTAGAATGTGGAGAAACTAGACATTCATGTATTTGTGGTGAGAATGTTAAAAAAATGATAGTCACGGGAAAACAGGTTGGCAGAAGTTTGTCAGTTTTTTTCTTTCTTCTCTTTTGGCTGGTTGTTTTAAAACCAAGCATGCATGTACCATACAACCCACAATTACAGCCTTGGGCTCTTATCCCAGAAAAATGGAAACTTATGTTCACAGAAGTATCTATACAAGAGTGTTCTTCATAGCTCTACTCGTAATACCCAAAGCTAGGAACTGCCCTGATGTCCATCAGAGGATGGAAAAAAACTGATGGTACCTCTATACTACTTAGGAATGAAAGGAAAAAGTAAGCCAGGGTGGCCATACACGACTATAACCCCAGTGCTCTGGAGGCTCAGGAAGAATTACCAAGGTTCAAGGCCAACTTGGGCTACAGAGCAAGACACAGTAAGGAAGAAATTAGCTGGCTGTGGTGGCATGTGCCTATAATCCAAACTCTGGGGAAGTATAGGCAGCAGGAATTCAAGGCCAGACTCAGCTATATAGAGTCTGAGTCAACCTAGGCAACATGAGACCCTGTCTCAAGAAATAAAGGGACTGGAGAGATGGCTCAGCAGTTAAGAACATTTGCTGCTCTTGTAGAGGACCCGGTTTGGTTCCCAGCACCCACATGGCAGCTCACTACTTTCTATAACTCCTGTTCCAGGGGATTCAACACCTTCTTCTGGCTTCTCCAGGCACCAGGCATATGGTGCACCCACATACACACAGGCAAATACTGGGGCCCATAAAAGAAAAAAAATTGTTTTAAAAGGAAAAGTCAGGCTATCCTTCCCATATGACTCTGGCAATTTCTTTTCTTCCCAAAGAGTTAGTCTATTTCTTGTCAGCTACCAAGTTTGCAAAAACAGAATTATCCATAATATTCCATAGCTTTAAAAGCTTTACATTTTGTTTGACTATTTTATTTAGAGGGTGCAGGGCACATATGTCATAGCACATGTGAAGAGGTCAGAAGAAAACCTTTGGGACTTGTTTCTCTATTTCCGCCATGTGGGTCCCAGGAACCACACTAAGTCATCACACTTAATGGTAGGCAACTTTTTTTTTTTTTTTTTTTTGGTTTTACGAGACAGGGTTTCTCTGTATTGTTTTGGAGGCTGTCGGTCCAGCCTGGCCTCGAACTCACAGAGATCTGCCTGCCTCTGCCTCCCGAGTACTGGGATTAAAGGCGTGTGCCACCAACGCCCTGCTAATGGTAGGCAACTTTAACTTTACCTGCTGCACCACCGCACAGGCCCTCAGTGCTTAGGCTTTCTATCTTTTTTTTGTTTTGTTTTGTTTTGTTTTTTCGAGACAGGGTTTCTCTGTGGCTTTGGAGGCTGTCCTGGAACTCTCTTGGTAGTCCAGGCTGGTCTCGAACTCACAGAGATCCGCCTGCCTCTGCCTCCCGAGTGCTGGGATTAAAGGCGTGCGCCACCAACGCCCGGCCTTAGGCTTTCTATCTTTATTTTTGTGTTTGCTTATTTATTATTTATTAAGATGGTATCTCTCTATGTAACCCTGGCTGTCCTGGAACTCACTATGTATAGGCTGGCCTTGAATTCACAGAGATCCCCTGCCTCTGCCTCCCAAGTGCTGGGGCTCCTCAAGGGCTTTTAATATACACCAGACATTAAACATGACCCTAGTATTGGTAAAAGTCTTTGTAGGTGATCCTGGAGTAGAGGCTTATTGATTCTATTCATCTTTAAAAAATACCTTTTCTCTTTTGATTTCCCGTTTTCCATTTCATTTGAGTTCTCCTTGTCTGTTTTGAGATGCAGCCCAGGCTGGCTTCAAATATGTACAACCACACCTAGGTCAATCTTAAACTGGAGAGATGGCTCAGCAGTTAAAAGTACTTGTTGCCCTTGCACAGGACCAGAGTTCAATTCCCAGCACATACACAGGGTGGAACATAAGTTCCTATAACTCTAGCCCCAGAAGATATAACACCCTCTTCAGCCCTCCATGGACACCCACACACAGGTACATATGCATGCAGAGGCATACACACATAAATATAAATAATTTTAAAAATGGTTGTAACACCAAATTATTGACGCATATGTAATCTCAGCACTTAGGATGAGGCAAGAATATCAAGAGTTCAAGGCAAGCCTCAGCTAGCCACATAGCAAGCTCAAGGCCTGCCCAAACAAGACGAAACAGTCTCAACTACCACCACCACCAAAATCCTTGCCCCAAAGAGCAGCAGACACACTGGTGTGGGAGTCTTGGGATTCCGACTGGCTTGGTTTACAAGTGGGAAAACAGAGGGAGAAGTGGCCTTCCCAAGGTCACACAGGGACTGGTGATTCTTAGACCTCAGACACAGACAGCAGCCAACAGTTCATCTTTACTCCCACTGTCCCCTCTCAGGAGTCTTTACCTGGCTATTGATGTTATTGTTCTTCCTAAACACCAGGAGGCCCCCGATGAAGGCTGCCAGGAAAGAGTGCATCTGGTGGGTCTCGCCTTGCACATGGGACTGTAGGGCACAGAGACTCTTATAGATGAACACAAAGCAGGCCAGGTTCCGAGAGTGGGTGTACGTGGCTTTCAGGATGGCCTGTAGCTTCTCTTGGAGACTGCACAAACAGAAAGCCCCATAAACGCCGGCCCAGACTACATACAGCCCTTAATTAGGCAAGGCCCAAAGCTGGAGCCCATCCAATTCAAAGCCGCTGTGGAGGGCGCCCCATGTCCTCAGGGGCACTGCTCTCTCCAGACTGGGGCCTTAACTCAGTGTCACCACCTCAGGGGTCACTCCCCGACACCTTGCATTAATGAGTGTCCATCCCCTTCCTCATTGTCTTTTCCATCATGGTTCTCATCGCCATTTAACATTTGTAAGCTGATGTATGAAGTTCCCTTGTCCTCAGTATAAGTTCCTGCAGAGCAGGTTCTAGATTTTGCTTGTTCACTCTAAGGGCACGGAACGGGGCCTGACACACAGTAGGTACTCAACAAATGGGAGAGATGAGTGAACAGTGAACAAATAAATGTGTGCCTACTATGAGCTGGATCTGCAGATAGAATCTTGAGAAATGACAGATCTGCTTTCTGCCTTTGTGGGGCTTAGGAGTGGGAAAAATAATTGCCAAGGTGAGAATCAGACATTGACTTTGATAAGAGGTGGTCCTGGAATTTGAAGGATTCCAGGCAGAAGACTCACCATACACAAAGGCCCCAAGGACAGAAAGGGAGCCAAGCAATGGAGAGAGGTCAGTGTGGGCTCTGAGCAGGGGCTGTGTGTGGAGGGCAGTGAGGAGGTCAGCACCCAGGATTGATCTTTCTTTTGAGATGAAAAAGAGCTGATTCAATTCCCCTTTTCCTTAAAGGGAGTGTGTGAGTATATGTATGAGTGTGAGTGTGTGTGAATGTGAATATGAGAGTGTATGTGTGTGAGTGTACATGTGAGTGTGTGAGTATGTGAGAGTGTATGTGTGTGAATGTGAAAAATGGAAAGTGTGTGTGTGTATGTGTGTGTGAGTGTGTACCCACAGAGACCAGAAGAGGGCATTAGATTCCTGGAACTGGAGTTACAGGCAGTTGTGAGCTGTTGGGTGTGGGTGCTGGGAACTGAACTCTAGTCCTCTGTAAGAGCAACAAGCACTCTCAATGGTTGAACCATTTCTATAGTCTCACTAGGGGACAGCAAAGATAACTCAGGGAGAGAAAAGAATACACCTCTCAATTCTAGACAAGGACCTCCATAGGAAGGGATGGTGGTGCTGGAGAGTGGTGGCACTTTTTGTTTTATTTTTGAGACAAAGCCCAAAAGCATTCTTTAAGACCCGAACTTACTCATGCAGTCACCAAGTGTTCAGTGAACATCTGCTGTGTAATACACACTGTTGTGGCTGCTAAGGATACAGCAGTGAACAGACAGACAAGGATCCCTGTCCTCCTAGAGTTTATCTTCTAGCAGGAGGTAACAGAAAATTAACATTAAAAATATCAGGGAAGCCAGGAGGTGATGGCGCACGCCTTTAATCCCAGCACTCGGGAGGCAGAGGCAGGCGGATCTCTAGGTTCGATGCCAGCCTGGTCTACAGAGCAAGTTCTAGGATATCTGGGACTACACAGAAAAAAATAAAACAAAAAGATTTGGAAGGGCTGGGCATATAGCTCAGGGCCAGTGTGCTGGCCTACTATGTTCCTGGCTCAGGGCCAGTGTGCTTGCCTTCTAATGTTTCTTGCTCTGGAAAGAGAAAGAGAGGGCAGAAGAGAAGGAGAGGGGAGGGAAAGGAAAAGATGCAATCTGGAGGGCAAAAAGTCCCAACATAGATAAACAAAATTAAACTGCCACAATAGAAATCTTTTTTTAAAACTCAATCTCAGAAGATGGACAAAACAGAAATCTTGCAATTTGGACTTAGCCCACTTTCTCTCTATTTTTTTTTAGATTTACTTATTTATATTTTATGCATGTAAGTGCTCTGCCTGCATGTTTGTGCATCACCTCCGTGCCTGGTGCCTGCAAAGTTCATGAGAGAGGGCTGGAGTCCTCGGGACTGGAGTTACCGATGATTGGGAGTTACCATGTGAGTACTGGGAACCGAGCTTGGGTCTTCTGAAAAAGCAGCAAGTGCTCTTAACCAATGAAGTCATCTCTCCAGTCCCTGTGCACAACTCTCATAAACTGCAGGTGTGCCTATAAGCATTAGACAGCAAGGCGTTTTCTGAGTAGTCTCTGTGTCAGGTAAGGACACAGAGAAAGAGAGGAGATAACAGAGACTGGTTTCCAGAGACTATGACCCAGAGGACTGCACAGGTTTCTAGAAAGGAGACAGAAGCTGGCTAGGAGAGGACAGGCTCCCTGAAAGCGGGTGGGCATACCCAAATGATACTTCACAGTATCAAAGTCTGTTCGTGAAACAGGGCCTGGGAGCCAAGGAAGCCCACGCCGGACAGTGAGGGATCAGCTGTGCCACACTACACAGGGTTGGGTCTCTGTGGAGGATAGTGAGGAGTCACAGGCATTTCCAAGTGGGGACATGTGATCAGAGCTGGACTTTGGGAAGCACAAGGGACTGGAGAAGCTAGTCCTAGCTCGGAAACTACTACACCCATCCTGGCCTGAGGGCTGACCACATTGTCTCCCAGTTGGTATGCAGAGAGGGTAGGTACCTGCCACTCCTGAAGAGAAAGGTCATGACCAGTGCATGAGGTGCCCGGATTTTGACTCCATAGCTGTAGAAACAGAAACAAACAGTTATTAACCCATCACTGTCGCAGTTTCCAGGACCCCCATTTGGCCCCTGGTCCTTTCTCCCTTCACCAATTCTGATACCACAATGGGAGGGAAATAATGTTGGCTTTCCAGATACATCTGGGCTCAAGTTCCAGAGCCCCCTGGTAGAGTGGCCTTTGCCTTATCTGACCCTCAGTTTCCCCAACTAAAAAGGAGTGCTAAACCTCAGAGGGCTGGGTATATAGTTCTTGTGGACAAAAATGAAGTGTGTAAAAGGTGTCCACCATTCCTAACTTGCAGAAATGCTCTCTCAGCTCCTTCCTGACCTATATATTACAGTCAGGCTCATCTTTGATCAATTTTAAATTGATTTATTATTATTACTAATACTGTTTTGTTTTCTTTTAATTTTTCTAATGGGCGTGGAAATCAGAATTCACTAGACGCTCTATATGTGAAATGGAGTTTATTAGGGGAAAGGAACTTACACAGAAAACAAGTGGCGCTCCAGCTTCAGTGACGCAGACCCTGCCACCCTGATGCTCTCCACGACCGATAGGGGTAAGAGAGCCCCGAGCCCCAAACCTAATCCTAACCACTCATCAAGTCCCCACCTGTGACCATGCCCAAAAGGCATGGTCAGTGCTACAGGTGTGGAGACAGATTTAGCACTACATTTTTTCATTACATTCATTCATAGACACAGAATCTTACTATGTAGTACTAGCTCTGGCTGGAACTCATTATGTACACCAGGCTGGCCTTAAGCTTAAAGAGGCTGCACATGGTGGCACATGTCTTTAATCCTAGCACTCTGGAGTTAGAGGCAGGTGGATCTCTCTGAGTTCAAGGCCTATCTGGTCTACAAGTGAGTTCCAGGACAGCCAGAGCTACATAGTGAGACCCTGTTTCTAAAAATGAACCAACAACAACAAATTCATAGAGCTATGCCTGCCTATATATACATGTCCGTCCCCCACCCCCCAGTGCTGGAGGTGTGTGTCACCATACCAAGAATTTTACTTTACTTTATTACTGCTATTGTCTTGGTGGATTTAAAAGCTATTGAGTAATTTGTGTATGTGGAGGGGGCATGCATGCATGCTAGCTAGTTTTATGTCAACCTGACACAAGTGATAGTCATCTGGGAGAAGGGAACCTTAGTTGAGAAAATGCCTCCATTTGGTTCAAGTTGGTTCTGAAGGTAGTAGTGAACGCCTTTAATCCCAGCGCTCACGAGGCAGAGACAGGCGGATCTCTGTGAGTTTGAGGCCAGCCAGTTCTACAGAAGGAGCTCCAGGACAGCCAGGGTTACACAGAGAAGCCCTGTCTTGAAAAATCAAACCAAAAAAGAAAAAAGATCAGGCTGCAGATAGGCAAGTCTGTGGGGAATTTTCTTAATTAGTGACTGATTTGGGAGGAACCTATCCCATTGTGGGTGGGTGATGCTACCTGTGGGCTAGTGGTCTTGGGATCCATAAGAAAGACTGAATATCAGTTCCTGCCTCCAGGTTCCTACCCAGTCTGAGTTCCCGCCTTGGTTATCCCCAATGGATTGTGACTCGGGATACGTAAGCTACATAAACCCTTTCCTTTCTAAGGTGCTTTTGATAATAGTGTTTCATCTCAGCATTAGTAACCTTGACTAGGACAGCATGCCAAGCATGCCAAAGCATGTATGTGTGTTAGAGAACGGTTTGTAGCAATCAGTTTTCTCCTTCCTCCATTGACCTCAGGGATCACACTCTGGTCTTCAGGCTTGGTGGCAATGGCAAATGATGTTACCTGCTGAGCCTCACCACCAACCCGGGCTTTTTTTTTTTTTTTTTTTTTAGGGGAGCAAGGATCTCATGCCCGTCAGTCTCTGTAGCTGACTGAGTGACTGAGGCCTTGAACTCCTGATCCTCCCACCACCTCCTGAATGCTGAGACTATAGATGCGTGCTACCTTACCTAGTTTAACATATCATCGTTATTTTATTTGTGTGTGTGTGTGTGTGCACACATGCATGCACGTGCATACATAGCACCTTTGGAGTCTAGAAGAGGTGGCAGATCCCCTAGAGCTGGAGTTACAGGTGGCTGTGAGCTGACCGCTGTGGATCTTGGGAACCAAACTCAAGTCCTCGTCAAGAGCAACAAGGGCTCTTAACCACTGAGCTATCTTTCCACCCCCACGCCTGGCTTCTTATTTTTCTTTTTCTTCGTTTCTTTCTTCTTCTCCCTTTTTTTGTTTTCTCGGCTTTTTTTGTTTGTTTGACACAGGGTTTCTCTGTAGTTTTGGAGCCCATCCTGGAATTCATTCTGTAGACCAGGCGAGTCTGAAACTCACAAAGATACTCCTGTCTCTGCCTCCCAAGTGCTGAGATTAAAGGTGTGCGCGACCACCGACCTGCCTTTCTTATTTTTCTTTACCAGACACCTTATGCTGGTTAGAGTCATCTGAGAGGAGGGAGCCTCAACTTAGAAAATGTCTCCGTAAGTTCAGGGTACCGGTAGGCCTGTCGGGCATTTTCTTAATTAGTGATTTATAGGGGAAGGCCCAGGTCATTGTGGGTCATACCACCTCTGGGCTGATGGTCACTGATTCTATAAGAAAGCAGACTGAGCAAACCATGAGGAGTAAGCCAGTAAGCAGCCCTCCTCCATGGCTTCTATATCAGCTCCTGCCTCCAGTTTCCTGTCTGGTTTGAGTTATTGCCTTGGCTTCCCTCAACAGACTATGATAGAGAATTTGTAAATCAAATAAACCCTTTCCTTTCCAAGTTGCTTTTGGTCATGTTATTTCATCATAGCAATAGTAACCCTAACTAAGACACACCTTTACCTTCATTTCTGCAGCTGAGTCAAGGCTTCTGAAGCCTAAAATCTCTTGAAGGCCTTGAGACAATGGTTATGAGCCACATATGGCTGTCACCTGAATATATAGGAATATTCACTGCAGGCCTCAAAAAGGAGTGGCTCCTGTGGCACACACCATTAGCCTGGTACTTATATGAAACAACAAATGTCCAGAATCAGGCACTGGGTAGACAGCTCAGAAAGTCAAGTTGCACAGTAAGCATTAGGACCCACAGAAGAGCCGGTACAGTGGAGCACATCAGCCACCCCAGACCATCCGGACAGACATGGGCAGGCAGAGCCTTGGAGCTCACCAGTCAGCCAGCCTAGCCAATGGATGAGTCCCAGGCTCAGTGAGAGACACCATCACAAAAACCAATACAAAAAGTGATGGAGGCCGGGTGATGGTGGCTCACGTCTTTGATCCCAGCACTCATGAGGCAGAGGCAGGTGGATCTCTGTGAGTTTGAGGCCAGCCTGGTCTACAAGAGCTAGTTCCAGGACAGCTAGAGCTACACAGAGCAATCCTGCCTCAAAAACAAACAAACAAACAAAAGTGATGGAGGAAGACAATTATTGTCACCCTCTGGCTCCCATACGCTCACCCATGTACACATCTATATGAACATGTATGAGAGAGAGAGAGAGAGAGAGAGAGAGAGAGAGGAGAGACAGACAGACAGACAGAGAGAGACAGAGAGACAGAGAGAGATCTCCTCTCTCTGTTTTCATTTTACAGCAGAGAAACTGAGGCCCAAAGAGAATAAAAGAGGAAATTGAGCTAAGTGAGGTGATGTATGCCTTTAGTCCCAGCACTTGGAGGTAGAGGCAGGCATATCTGTGTGAGTTCAAGGCCAGCCTGGTCTACATAGGGAGTTCCAGGTCAGCCAAGGCTACATAGAGAGACTCTGTCTCAAAAACAAAACAAAACAGAAAATGAATTTGGAACTGGAGAGATGGGTCAGAACAGCCAGGGATACATAAATAAATATGTCTTAAAAGTAATTAATTAAAACAATCTTTTATTCTTCTCTCCTATAGTACATCCTGAGTGAAGCCCCCCTTTACCCCTCTCACTGCCTTCCTCCACCCTGCCTCTCCCCCAGATCCACTGCTCCTCCATTCATTAAAAAAATGGGTGGGGGCCAAGACAGGGTTTTTCTGTGTAGCTCTGGCTGTCCTGGAACTCCCTCTGTAGACCAGACTGGCCCCAAACTCACAGAGATCCCCCTGCCCCTGGAATGCTTGGATTAAAGTCATACACCACCATACCTGGCTTAATTTAAAAGAATTTTTAAAGACAAAAACGAAAGTCAGAAGAGATGAAGAGTCATTCAATATTCAGAATAAAAACATTAGGGTTGGAGCCGGAGGCCATGGCCACCAAAAGTGCCGTGTCTGGGAAGGTTCCCAGAGGATTCAGAGAGAGCTGGAATCAGAAAGGGTTACAAAGTCCTCATGGGGAAACGTCTGCTGGCTCTGGAGCTAAGTCTGTGGGATATAAAAGGTGGAAACGTGTGGGCACTGAAGCAAAAGGTGTAAGGTGAGGACCTGCTCCTTAAGCTTAACATTACTCCAGGGAAAGACTAGAGGTGGGGGAGGTGAGATGCATTGGTTTGCGTGTGCACACGGCACTCTGGAAGACAACACAAGAGAGTCATCCGGGCACTGTGTCCATGGAGAAGGACTGGTGACAGAGGACATTTGTGTAACTATTTTAGATTCTGGGATGGACCGCAGGACCTCTTGCACGCTAAGCATGAGCTGAGCATGTGCTCTTCCACGGAGTTACATGCCTGGTTTAGCAGTGAACTGTTATGACTTTTGCTAATGTGTTACCTAACTTTTGAAAAGGGAAATTAAAGATGATTGAAGCCGGGCAGTGGTGGCGCACGCCTTTAATCCCAGCACTCGGGAGGCAGAGGCAGGCGGATCTCTGTGGGTTCGAGGCTGGGCTGGACCAACAGCCTCCAAAACAATACAGAGAAACCGTGTCTTGTAAAAAAATAAAATAAAATAAAATAAAAAATAAAGATGATTGAAAAGCTAACAACTTAAAATGTTTTTTTTTTTGTTGTTGCAGAAGTCAATCTGCTGTCCTTATCTCCTCTGCCTGGCAGTGTCAGGCAGTTCCCATCTGGTCTCTGTGGCCATTCTTGCCCCCAGCAACTGCAGAACCTTATCTCCTCCTCCTGCAGAGAGACAAAGAGGCCTTCAGCCTCCTCCAGTCAGCCAGGGCCTTCCTCTAGTCCAGACACAAGCAGACTGTCCTCAAGTCCCTACATCTGCCAAGCCCTTTCTCAGAGTCAAGTTCAGATGAGACCTGTTACATCACACCTGTAATCTCAGAATCTGAGTGACTTAGACAGGAGGACCTTGAATTTGAGTACAACCTAGACAGTGAGACTCCCTTTTTATTAAAATGGGGGCTAGAAAGATATCTCTGTCAGTAAAGAGCTTGCCTTGTAGGTGTGAGGACCCGAATTTGGACCCCTGGAACCCATGTAAAAAGCAAGGCATGGTGGTGGGCACTATATTCCAAGGCATGGTAAGGTAGGGGGCAGAGGCGGGCAGAGTCTTGGAGTTGGAGCCTGGCCTACCTGGTGAAGTTCCAGGTCAGTGAGACCCTTTCTCAAATAAAAAGTGAAAGGAAAGTGCCTAAAGCGTGTCAGCGGGATTGTCTTGGACCTCCATGTGTGCAGGCATACATGCGCGCGCACGTAAAACTCTTGAATATTTGGGGGTGAGTTAAGTGCTTACCAAGGTCAAACATCTCAGTCATTCATGTTTACCTCTCTAAACTAATGGCTTCTCTTCACAAATGCAGCACATTTTTCTCTACCTCCAGGCCTTTGTTGAATACATTTCCATGCCCAGGATGCCCTTTTCTTTCTGGGGAACTCCAACTTGGCCTTCAGAATATCACCACCACTCCCCCTGAAAAGAATTCCTGAATACTACTTTGCATTGATGTGGTATTTGGGTTTTGTTGTTGTTGTTTTGGTTGTAGAGTCTTGCTACTCAGCCCAGGCTAGTCTCAGATTCCCAATCCCAGTTGCCTCTAAAGTGCTGTGATTACAAGTGTGCTGCCATGCTCGGCCCTATCTCCATAGTTTGTGAGACTTCCCTTTGGACGTACGGTCCTTATAAATGGGCACAGAATCAATGCCACTCACAAGTAATGAGGCCCCTACCGTGGAGACTCGGGAATGGCTGAGTTTACTGTTTTAATTTTACAGAGGAGGAAACTCAGACCAGAAGAGACAGCTACCCAGTTTGTCACAGTGAAAACATTGGGGGAGAGCCCAAACACCTAACCCTAAAAATGTCTGTCCTGGCTGGGAGAGTCCACTGAGGAAGGGATAGAGAGAGGTGGGGTAGGCACAGGTGTACAAAGCCCATATTGGACAACACTTGCTGGGACACGGGTGTCCAGGGCATACCTAGCAAAGGGGCTACTGATGTTACCTCAGGGCAACACTTGCTGGGACACGGGTGTCCAGGGCATACCTAGCAAAGGGGCTACTGATGTTACCTCAGGGGTTCATTCCATCCTGATCAAAACATGGCTGACATGATTCAGCCAGATCCAGCAGGAAGTAGTTTCTACCTGACTGAATGTCCACTCTGAGTCTCAATTCAACTGTAACCTGACTTAAAGTGTGCTGGGACAGTCAGCATATCTCCCCTAGTCACTATCGATTCATCGAGAAGGCAGAGACAAGAGCAGTTCCTAGTTTCCAAATATCCATTCAAGAAAAGTTTGAATGCCTATAAATAGAGGAATTACCAGGGTACAGAGACGGACAACTATAGGTAAAAATGTGTGTTCCTGTGAAGCACATATTGTCATTGTTGTTGGGAGAGGGTCTCTCACTACAGTCCAGGATGATCCAGAGCGCACTATTTAGCACAAGTTGGGTTGGTCTCCAACTCACAGTAACTCTCCTGCCCCAGTCTCCCATGAACACCACCCCAGGCTGATGAAGCACACTTTCTAGTGAGAGACATGGACTATGAAACAAGATTGTTCCGTGTCTGTTGATAACAAGTGCTACAGAGAAAAAAAGGCTGGGAACAGAGAGGAAAGTTCAGAGGCAGCCTCGGTGGGAAGGTCTCAGTGAAGGATCAGTGAGCTGGCTAGACAGTATGAGCCTATATCAGCCATCTTGTGCACACACCAGGCACTGTGCTCTGCATTTCACACAGACTGGCCAGTCTCAAACAGTACCGTGTAAGTGCTCTGTGGAACCCATGTTCCAGAAAGTGAGGCTCCGAAAGGCCAAGTGACCTGCTCAAGATAGCCGTGGCAGGTCACACACTCAACACTGTGCTACACACTGCTACCTGGATGCCAACCGTAGGGACTTCGGTTTCTTCTCTAAGTCACGGCTAGCGGTGGCGCAGCAGCCCCTCCGCCACTGTTAACACGTGAGGTTTAAAGAAGGTGGAGCTGCCCTCCAGTTTCCTAAGACCTCCTCTCCTGCCGTGTGAGGGGGTGAGATCAACCTGTCCAGCAAATATTCCTACATTCACTTTCCATGAGTCCCCGGTGAAAATGAGGGCTGGGGTGAAGTCATATAGATGAGAAACAGGATGTGAACCTGTTGGCAGCTTAACAGGGGGGAGCCTATTGGGTAGTAGGTGACCACCTGCTTGCTAACGGACAGAGTCCAGTTTCTTTTGTGCACACAGAGCTACCGAAGCCAAATGGGCCAAAGGGCATACGGCAAGATGAGGTGAAATGGACCCAAATGAGGAGATACAGGTGCTGGCGTAGTAGGCAACGAAGTCAAGAGTGCCAGGTTGTAAAGCACAGAGGACCTAGAAGAGGGCCGGGGGTGAGGGGGGGGGGGGGGGCAGCTCAGGGCTGACAAGGCGACAGGAACCCAGAAACCCACTTCCACTACACCAACAGGGCACCGAAATCTAACCCCAGAGCTCCCAGAGGGTGCACAGCGAGGTGACACGGGGCCTCGAACTCGCGACCCCAGCTAGGCCCGTCCATCAACCCTGACCGGACTCCGCGGCCCCACTCACACAGCCCCGTTCCGGAAGCCCTTAAGCAGGGCCAACACAGCGTGGTAGCGGCGCTTGCGCAGCAGCGTGTTGACAGTCTGGAGAAGAGCCTGCAGCTGCGGTGGGGAGGCCATGGCATCGGAGAATTCGGTCAAGGAAGCCGTCTGGACGTGTACTGACAGCCCTGGGTTCTGGCTGCACAGCCTACTGCACTGGGGAGCACCGCCCCGTCGTTGTATCCATAGGCTGAGTCTGCCGTCACTCATACAAGAGAGCCAGTCACAGAGCGCAGTGGTTTGCAGGGGGCTGAGCCGCTCTCACTCTTCGGAATAGTTGACTGATTGGAAGAGAAAGAAGAGTTAGAAACCAATCACCGCGACTCGGAAGAGCCCTCGCAGGATTCGCCCAATCAGAAGGCAGTTTTCCTAGGGAGAAGTTTGGTTCCTTGTGAGGCTTTGGACGGGCTTTATTGCCCTCCTTGGAGTTGCAATGGGTGACTTCGGGGAGGTGTGGTCTTACCGCACACACACTTTCGACTGCCTAGCAGATGTTGCAGCTAACTTGTCGGAGTATAAATCACATGTCACTCTTGTTGCCTGGTGTTCTGTGACAGTATCACATGTAACCCAGGCTGTCCTTGAACTCTGACCACCCCCCTCCCCACTTCCCACGTGCTGGGATTGCAAGCCTGTGCCATCTTACCTGTTTTCTATTTACTTTTAAAATACAAACTGTTTCTCAGAGCCCCCAGGAGCAGATGTGTTTGGTGTTTTCTGGCCCTTGCCTCTAGTCCCATATCCTCCCTTTTCTCCAATTTCCTGGCTTAGTTTCCATTCCTTGAGCATCCCAAGAACTCTTACGCTTCAAAGGAGTTGCACCTGCTATCTCCCTGCACTGTCTATGGCTGACTTACTCTCGGAATTCAAGTGTCAGCTCAGGTACCACCTAATCGCGGAAGGCTGCAGGATATCCCACAGACAGTAGCACTGCTCACAACCAACTTGTTAATTAGCTCAGTTGTTGTTGTTTCGTTTGTTTGTTTGTTTTTCAAGGCAGGGTTTCTCTGTGTAGCCCTGGCTGTCTGTGAACTCACTTTGTAGATCAAGCTGGCCTTGAACTCACAGAGATCCGTCTGCCTCTGTCTCCCCAGTGCTGGAATTAAAAGTGTGTGCCACCACTACCCAGCAGGCGGCCCAGACTTTCTGTTGTTGTTTCTTTGCTTTTTTCCTCTCTAGAATTCTTCACACTTTCTAATTTTTACCACTTGTCCAATGTCCATCTTTACATGGACTATTACTTTCCTGGAGCCAGAAAGATGTTTGTCTAGTTTTCTACTGTAACTCCAGTACCCAACATAAGTTTCCAAAAGCAGTGACATGTTAAATTATCACTGCTAGAAAATTAATGAATGACATTTACATATATAACATTTTACTGTGTATAAAGGTCATTAGATAACAGTCACACATTGAATGTTGGCTGTAATTTGGAGGTTGTTCCCTGGACATGTGATATTTATTTGTGATAGTGACTGGACTAGTATCAGATGTCGGTAAAGGAAGTGAACTGTGTTGAACCTGTTCCATCACCAAAATTGGGTTTGTCGGTCGGTCGGTCGCTCTCTCTCTCTCTCTCTCTCTCTCTCTCTCTCTCTCTCTCGTAGTTATTAACTAGTTTATTCGGTTAGTCCTCTAAAAATAGAAAACAGAGTCTCTAGGCTAGGGATGTAATTCAGTCTGCAGAGTCTGGCTGGCAGGAATCCCCTAGCTTGGTCTCCGGCAACTCATCGACTGGCTGTGATGGCATTCACCTGTAATCCCAGGGTAAGGGAAGTGACACAGGTAGCTCAGAGGTTCAAGGTTACATACAATAGTGAGTTCAAGACCAGTTTGAGATGTCTGAGATCCTGTCTCAAAAGGATATGGAGAGGCTGCCGAGATGTCAGTAAAGTGGTTGCTGTCTAAGCATGAGACCTGAATTCAATCATCAGAACCCAAGGAAAAAGCTGAGTGTAGTGTGTGAGCTTGTAATCCAGTGCTGGGAAAGCAAAGACAGGCAGATCCCTGGAGCTCACTGGCCAGCCAACCTAGCTTAATCGTTGGGTCTGGGGTCACTGTGAGCAAACCAGTCTCAAAAGGACAAGGTAGACAGCTCCTGAGAAATGACATCAGTGATTGACCTCTGGCCTCCATACCCATATGGATACATGTGCACATGTGTTCAACCCCATAAATTCAAATGCACATACATATGTACACATGTATACAAATAGTGATTGTGTTGTAGAAATGTCCTCTACTCCTCCACGGGATGCCCACACACCCCTGCTGTCTTTCTTGACGTTGAGAATGGATGGCTTTTACTTGGTGACCAAGTCTGCAGTGATTGCCCAGAAATTCCATCACATTTTGCTAGTACTAAACACCAACACTGATGAGCAGCAGGGCTTGACCTTTGCCGCTATTGATATGAAGGGTATGGAGCAAAGGGCATGCTCAAATGGCATGGAGGTCTGGAGAACTCACTGATGATAAATGAAACCTGTAATCACAGTCATGCAGATTCCATACCAGATCAAGACCCTGACTTGAACACAAGAAAGATGAGCAGAAAGGAATCTACCAGGCTCTGGCCAGTGTCTACATATCAAGCTCTGTCAAGACCTTGGACACCTAATGATGATGGAGACCCGTGTAATACTGAGTCACTTCTGGCACTTTTATGTCCAAGGCCCACACATCAAGACCATTGGCCAATATGATCATAGCATGGGTAAATCGTCAGCCATTTCTGTTAATAAATAGCCAGTATGCCTATTTATGTAATATTCTTATAAACACAGGGATGCTTTAAAGTGTGAGGAATGTCCAGACAAGTTATTAAGCGAAAACTAGAAACTAGAGAGTTAACAAGAAGACTTATAAGCTGCAACACCAAGACCACTTATGACATGAGAGTCTTGGCAAATATTGAACCTGTGAATTTCGATTTGTCAACCACACAGGGCAAGAGATACGAGAGTGAAAGTCCAGGGCCTGCTCCAAGTGAAGAGACGTAAGGCAGACTCTCCAAGTCAAGCTGAGACCACCCCTGCAAAAAAAAAAAAAAAAAGGATTTTGCCTTCCAAGCGAATGTGACAGGAAACCATTGTATAACCCGTGAGCCTCAAGGAACCCCCGAGAATGCTGCTGCAGAGCCAGACACCACAGTTCAAAGAAGAGGAAAGGGGATTCTTCTTTTGAGCCCTTTCTTGGAAAGTGTGGCTGATGAGTCTTTTTGCATCCTGGGAGCAGGGCTTGGTATGTCAACAAATTTCAAGCTATGTCAATTGTGGTGACACACACCAGCAGTCTAAATCCTGTCAAGGCAAAGGCAGAAGGATCATGGAGTTGGGTCCAGCCTGTGCTATCCTGTAAGACCCTATCTCATCCAGCTTATTCTTATTTTAAAATATTTTACTGTTGCTAAGTGTGTGTGTGTGTGTGTGTGTGTGTGTCTGTCTGTCTGTCTGTCTGTCTGTCTGTGTGTGTTGGAGTATTGGTAACCAGGGATGCCACAGTCATTTATGAACTGCCCAACATGGGTACTGGGAACCAAACTTAGGTCCTCTGCAAGAGAATACATGTTATTTATTTATTTATGAGACATGGTTACTCTGTGTAGCTTTGGAGCCTGTCCTGGAACTCGCTCTGTAGAACAGTCTGGCCTCGAACTCACAGCGATCAGCCTGCCTCTGCCTCCTGAGTGTTGGGATTAAAGGCTTGCACCACCAACGCCCAGCTAAACTAAGTTTTTAAAAAAACAGAACAAAAAAGAGTGCTTGTCTAGTGGGGTATGGTTTTATGACTCACACCCTTAATCCCAGTACTCAGGAAGAAGATCATCAGGCTAGCCAAGGCTACATAATGAGACCTAGTGGCAAAACAAACAAAACAATGATAACAAAACAAAATAATAATAATAATAAATAATCTGGAGAAGAGCACATCTGCTTTTGACTTCACGGGTGGATGATCAACTGATCATAGAGATAGTCAGGCTCCTAGGAGAACATAAAAAACTCAACAGATAAACAGAGATTATAATTGTAATTCAGGCACAGACTTTCAAGAAAAAAATAATGACACAAAATTTAAAGCTAGAAAGTAGCTATAGAGAACTTAAAAGTACTATTTTTTAAATTATGTGTACTTATGTATCTGTGTTTGGTATGTGCATGTAAGTGCCAGAAGTGTCCCATGTCCCTGGAGCTGGAGCTACAAGTTTTATGAACTTCCTGATGTGGGTTCTGGGAACTGACTTGGATCCTCTGCAAGAGCAGTGTGTACTCTTAACTACTGAGTCATTTCTCCAGCCCCCAGTAATATTTTTTTAATATAACAAATTAGGTAATCCTAGCACTTGAGAAGTAGAAGCTAGAGAGTCAGAAGTTCAAAGCCATACTCAGCTTCATAGTGAGTTTGAAGCTGCCTAGGCTATAAGAGACCCTGTCAAAATCCCCCGCCCTGTGTGTGTGTGTGTGTGTGTGTGTGTGTGTGCGCACGCACGTGTGCATGCAAAAGAGAGAGCATGTATATGCGCATGTAATTTGGAAAAGCAGAGCTGCTAGAAATTTCACCTGTAACTGCATGGAGATCAGTCCGAGTTGTGACATATGGCCCAGTGTTGGGAGCAGGTATTTGGAAACAATTCCGTTTGGCAGGTCTTCCTGTATCTTTTGGTAAGCCCTTAGGTAGATGAATAAGTTTCTACCTTTCCAAGCCTCCTATGGTGCTAAAGGCAAAAATCATTGCCACAGTAAGAGTATTTATTACCTAGTGACCCATTTTCATTTTGCACAACTCTAAGTTCCTCAGGGCACATTGTTTATTTACCCAGAAAAAATTTTTACTATGTGGGCTATCTATAGAATACTAACTGGGTATCAGTTTCTTGTATGCCTTTGTGTGTGGTCCTGGGTGTCAAGCTAAGGGTCTTATGCATACTGAGTTCCCTGCCACAGAACTACACGGACAGCTCTTGAATTCCTTGCTACTAGTCTTGTTCTTGTAGAAAGTCTGCAAGGTAAGTGCTATGAAATTGTCAGCTAACTTATGGGAAACAGAGGAATACAGAGATACCATAGCAGTCGAAGGCTAGAGGAGGGATTTAAATCCAGGCCTCCTGGCTTGCCTCTGAAGTCTGTGATGTTAAACATGTTATTAGTTTGTTAG